CCTGCAAACAAGTGCATTTGCCCGAAAGGGGAGCACTGAAACTAGAGCTGGTTTTCAACAAAAAGCAGACAAAACCATCATTTGGAAGAAATGCTTGGTCAAGACTGCATTTTAGAAAACTCCCCATCAAAATTTTGCTCTAAAATAACAAAATGAAAAAAAATTTCTTGCTCTTTGCACGGGTACTGGTCCTACCCCTGCCAGGCACGGGTGTAATTCTAACCGCTGTAACAGAAACCCATGGCTAGGACTGCAGTATAAAATACTTTACAAAAGCCTGGCTGTCTATACCAAACAGAACTCAAAGCAAGAGAGCCTGCAGTTGACCAGAATCTTCTACAGCTGTTGTTGAAAATACTGTATTTGACAATGTATTGTGGATGCATAAGACCATCCAGGTATCCCCCCGAAGATGAAGTATCAGACAGATATTTTCCTGGAGGGGACTTTATTTCTTCTTTAACCTTACACAGCATTTCTGACAAAAAAATCTGCCATTGTCTCCCTCCTCTCAAAAAATGCATTTATTCTTCACTAAGAGAGACTCTTGTGGTCAGATTCCCACTGAGTTACCCTTTTCAATGAACCAATAGGTTTTCTCCTTTTAATAAATTCTTTTCATACAGCCATCAAAATATCAAACACTTTAGGATACGAATTTTTCACAATTAAAAATAAAAACTGAAACAGCGACTTCAAATTAAAGAGTTCAGTTATCAGAATGATTAAAACATTTATTGCTTCTGTAGATTTCAACTTCCTTACAGGTTTTATGGTCATGTCACTGCATTGTTTTCCCTCTGTCACAACTGTTCCTCTCAAATCCTGCCCTTGAAGTCATTATGTGCTATTGGTTCTTCAACATAAACTAGATTATTTTCATTAAATACTCTAAATCCATAGGGTTTATAGTCCCTTTATTATGGCTTTTTTAATAAAGACAAAAGTTTGTGTTGGAGCAGTAGCAGATAAAAAAGGGGTTAGAAATGCAGCTGCACCAATCTGAACAATGAAGAAATAAAAATATGTGTATTTTTTAAAAATAATAATTATGGTTAACTCACCATTAAGACAGTGCTGTAAATTATGGTTTATCTGCCCTTATTGATCCAACATAAACATTAGGAGCAAGCATGCTATGCAGGGGAGGGAAAAAAGAAATTATTGTGGCATGTTTTAGATCCCCTGAGTCATCTTTCCTGGAACAGGGTAGAGCAAGTCAAAGCTGCTGTGTAGAAAGCACGGAGATGGAGGTGGGCTCAGCTGGCTCAGCATTGGCTGTGTCTTGTCAAGAGCACTTTGAAAAGGGCTGCATCAAAGCTAATACATCATAAGTCTTCAGGACCATGTTGTAGGATAAGTCCTGGTGTCTGTTGAACATGGCTTCAGCCATGTGCTTGCTGGGATACCAAGCTCTTTTTTCTGCCTAAATATGTGGTACAAAGAGCCAAAGTTGTACAGTTCTGAAACTTCCTTTGGGGCAACTTCACATGACTTTAATTAAAAGCAAAGTATATACTGAATATTCATAATCTGCAATAAAGAGGCATAGCTCTCCAAGTCTTCACTATACCCACAACAGATAAAACCAAGACCGAGCCATGACTACATTAGAAACAAACATTATTACATCAACTGGGAGTTAGATATGAACCCACCTGAATCTGCACTGACTCATGTTGACCTGTAAAAATAGGTAACATCAATTTTGGATCAAAACTGCTCATCTGAAGGAACTAGAGAGACTATGCTAGCATGCTAAGTACCCATGGAAATATCCATTTCTGGGTATAGGAAAAAGGAACTTCACGCACTTTCGACATTCCTCATGTCCCTGAAAAATAAAGTAACAACGACTTCTAATACTGCCTTCAGCACATCTTTGGAAGGGTCTCTATTGTTACAAAATAGGCATTTTGCCTTTGTGCAAGGCACAGAACCCTGAAAGCTGGCTCAGAGAGCTCTATTCACACAATGCAGACGAGCAAGGGGCTCCCTCGAGCTCCAGGAGCAGTACGGTGACAGCAGCACGTGCTGTCTTTCGGCTGACACACCCAGCTGCAGTCCTACACAGATGCGCTTTTCACTGCTTCCACTTCAAAACTTTCTATCAGGCTCTATACTACAGGATAGACATGACCTCTGTTTATTAACAGCAATAAATCAGCAGTTGCTATCACCCTTTTCTCCTAAAGCTATTAGGATGAAGGGAGGGGTAATGAAAATACAAGAACCAGGAGAAATCCCTCCATCATGAAAGAAAATTTCACATTCCTTTTCCAAATCTCTTATTTCACCTCCCTTTTGGAGTTGGGAAAGCAACTTGGCACGATGAGGTAAAGACCGAAGGGAAGTAAAACCTACACAGAGCACTACTTGCCCCAGAGCAGATCACTGACACTGAAGATGTGCATAAGCAGGTAGATCTTGCCACTATGTCAATTGGAGGACTTGCAGGGGCAGGGCATTGCCATAAAGATAAATCATAGTACACTGAAGCCTTTATTTGTAATGAAGTCTTCCAGCAAAGAGAAATCCTGGCAAACACTGACTGTAAGACATTAAAAGCCACAGCATAATGCATTATTTCTATTTAATTGTGTGGCATTGTATTATATGTAGCTACTTACACAGAAGGCAATTAAAGCCATATTCAAGAGACAGTTAAAAATACAGGTAGATTCTCTTCCTTCTGATTTTTTCTTCTCAAATCTAGAAAGGGTAAGTAGATGGGTCTATATCCTGCATGTTAAAATTTTGAGGTGAGACTGTGCCTCCATTTGGAGGGGAGACATTGCACAGAACATGTGGCACAGAGCCCACGCGCCCTGTTTGTAAAGGAGTCTGTGGGTATTGAAGTCATCATTGTACTCTCCAATCACATCAAGTGATAGGACGGCCTCGGAATAATAAAGACAGCTAGTCCACATATTCCTCTATGCATAAATCCTCTTTGGTCTTTGAAGTTTTGTGGAAAACAACTTTTAAAAAATGTTAATTTTAAAAACAAGACATTAACTAAATTCCTCTGAATCCGGAGACATATTTGAAGAACAAATTATTTACCTCATAAATAATCTCAACTGAGGTGGTCCCAGCTCTTATTTACGGAAAGGCAAACAAAATAAATAACTATTTCATAAAACATGTTTCTGGAGAAAGGTTATAACCCCCAACTGACTGCTATTTTATCCCCCAAGGGTTAAGACTCTAGACGGGTGGCAGACCACTACTAGAGCTGCTGCTGCTTTGTGTTCCAGGCCAATTGGTTCAACATGCAGCATAGCACAGGTATCCCTCCCGCAGTCACCATCCCAACTCTCAAATATGCCACTAGAAAATACAAATTAGGCAGCCAGAGTCCTGAAATTAATGCATAAGGACCATGAGTCACATGCTAAACTGGCATAAAAAAATTTAACTCCATTTACTGAAATGGAGCCATACCAAGCCTTTATCATCAGAAGTAAATACCAAAAAAAAAGAAGATAGTTAACAGTGTAGTAGTAGCAGCTGAAATACTGTTGCAAGACTATACAGAGCCAATGGTATACCAGTCAAGGTAGGACTTACATGCTTTCGTTCCTGTAAAATATAAGAAATACTGATGTGAGATTATCTACTTGTCTGCCCATTAATAAACGCAGCAGACAAACAGAGCAAACAGAGCAAGACACGAACAGTCACAGCCCAATGGCTTCCACTGGGTAGATATCATATTTGCCTTTCCAAAAACCAATCTGTATAATAATGCAAAACCAAGTGTCTTCCCTTACCTTCTGCAAAAGGTTCCCATTCATAAAATCGACCCATAAATGGCTTGTTATTGTATGATGCACATTGCACCTCTCTAATATTTCTGCTGCTTTCAGGACACACCTGTTTAAATAAAAAAAAACAGTGACATTATAATCAACAGCAATGCTGTTATTGCTTTCTTACTAATTCACTGTAGAAGGTTAATGAAGGCATTGCCAAATTCTAATCCAGATGAACATTAACATGTAACAAACAGTGTGGTTTTAATTAACAGTATCAAAAGTGCCTGTAGAAAAAAAATTAATTTGTGGAGTTCATGGAGCAACAGTTCTACAAAAACCCACAAATTTCTATTGAGCTGCCATTTTCCTCAGCAAAAAGATGACACTTCAAGATAAATTCAATAAATTAGATCCAAATTATTTCCTTTCTACAATAGCTTCACATTTTTCATTATTAATGTTCTGGGCTCAGATTCAACACAGTTGAAACACTTAACATACATGCTTCCATAACTTATTAAAAGCTGGCTGCACCAGTTTGTTATTATCATCCTATGCTTCAATACCGTATTCCCACTTTTTCTTTTTTATTTCTACATGCTGCTACTACTTTTATTGCATTACTTTGTATTTTAACTTGTGCCTTCAAATGCTAGCTTCAGAGTTCTTGAAGCTACACATTGAGAGGAGCTTCTTATATACAGGCACGTGCGTGCACACACACACATACTGAGGCAGGGCAAGTTTTACAGATAGAATTAACATCTTGTATTAGGTAACCTGCAATGCACATCTTTGGCAGACAAGCCTTGTTTAGATGTGAAGCAGATTCCAAAAGTAAATACAAGTTAACTACTTAATTACTTTGCTCTGCCTGTATCCCCACACTACAGCAGTTACAGCAAAAGACTACTCTGTGTGTGGGCACACAGAAAGGGGAGAAAGATTTGTAGAAAAGGCGGGGGGTTAATTAGAACAATTTCTATGCTTGGAGAAAATAGATAAGCTTTGGTCACAGACACATTTTTTCAGGTAACCTTTAGACAATCAAAACAGCTAGTAAAAGCACTATTCAAGAACACTAGAAACCACCTGAAGAACTGGACTAGAATAGCAGAGTATTTTTATATAGAAGACAGATTTCAAGGGAAAACTAGAGACAATATTATATTAAAGCAGTATGGCTAAATAACTGTGGTTTTGAAGGAAACAGCAAGAGAATCAGTAAGAAGAGCTCTTGTTGCAACTGCAGGTCAGTTCTCTTATATTTGTATAGGGGGAAAGATTGGTCGTCTTTGCAGTGAAAGCCAGCATGCCAGAGGTCCCAGAAGAGTTCCTGCTTTGTATCCATTATCTATATACGAAATATTTGTAACTGGATCAGTAAGACGTCAAAGTCAAGAGTTTTCAAGTGGGCTATAAACTGTACCAAAGACATGCCTGGGGGAAGGTTCATGGACTACTTTATCTTCTGTTAGAATCACGGTAACAAATCTTCTAGAATAAACACTGTTTCTGGCCAAACAGCCATCTGTGCTTTGTTCTCCCACCCTTCTGAGATCTCAAAGTACATGCAAATATTGTTTTCCCCAACAAACCCTCTAATTAAAAAAAAAACAAACAAAATAGCTTCCCTGAAAATAAGACCATGAGCCACCAAACTACATTGGAAGGGTGGGACCAGAAGGCTTTCTAGTGCCAAATGCAGACAGCAAAGCTATATTCCCACAACTGAAATGCACATCCCTACATCTGTGAGACAGCTATGCAGCAAGGCTGATTCAGCCACAACAACCAACCAACCAAGGCTAGGAAGCATACGTTTTTCATGGAAACTATGGCACACATCCTAAAGGTGGAGGGACAGAAGCTGAGCTGGCGTAAATTAAGGTCACTACATTACATTACAGCAGAACGACATCAGTTTGCACCAGCAAAGAACCCAGCCTGAAGGGTTTTGTTTTGGAATGTTTTTCCCTTGTTTTTAGTGCACGTTTTCTGACAGTCTATTATGAAGTTTTGTTGCTTCTTGTTTTTCCTTTTCTGAGCCTTGAGCTCATGCTCTTGTGTACCAGTTTTCTGGCTCATAAACCATTTCCTGTACCATTTCCGTTCATACCAACTGCAGACAACACATGAATAAAAAGATCAAAATATTCATTGCTGTTGCCAAAAAATAGTGACACCCGTCCCTTATAAGATCGCTTTTATATAGCTACAATTTCTGGTTTTGAACTCACTGAAAGTTGCCCACAGGACAGAGGCCCCATTGCTTTAAAGCAGGACAAAGGACTGAAAAATACACTAAACACTGTGGGGATCAAGCTGAAATCAGAAGAAAAGGCTAACTCAGTAACATCCCTGATAACTTTGAAAGTCCCAACTCAGTTGTTCTTTCTCCATTTCTTTCATCAAAGTTTAATTACAAAATAAAATTTTGAGTAAAAATTTGAGAGTGACCTGGCCTGCAAAAACTCTGCTTTATTCTTTACATAGATCATACTAATTTTTATTTTTAAATGTCTTTTAAAATTATCTTACGAAAGAGCTAACTACAAGGTGCAACTAGTCAAACTTACTAGAGCTTATGAATCACCAAGGCTTAAAAGTTATACTATACTCTATCTGTATACTAGCTAACATCTATACATCATTTATTAATCCTGCCTAAATTCTTAATGCATAGCTGAACAAAATGACAGTTCTATGCTGCCTACTGTTCAGCCCTCCTGAAAATGAAATCTTTGAGCCTTTCTCAGAAGAGCTAAGAGTGCCAGGCACCTTTCTCCTGGCCTCTCTGGCTTTTTAGCACATCTTTTAGGCAGAAAATACACTGTTATGGCTAAAAGGAAAAAACGTGACCTTGTACGATGAAATGTGAAAATTTAGCATAGGGGTTTCTGTAGATCTTTATTTTTTATTTATTCCCTGAGAGTACAACCTGGTTTTACACTTTTATTTAATTACTATTTCTGTCACAAACACGTATAGCTTGACCGCAAAACTCCTAAAAGACAGCAACGAGCACCTGCATTGAGATGACGACAACCCCAAAGAAAGCTCATATTTACAGTGTCTAACAATTGTACCTTACAGACCTCATTTGCTTCCCAGCTCACGCACATGGCTGGGAGACCCTGGAAGATGACGGCGGACAAAGCCAGGCCTTCCCACAGCACAGTCCCACACAGCACGTGGCCCCTGCCACGCAGCAGGTCACGCCCGCCCCAGGCCCGCACTCTGTCCGAGGGTCTGCCCACGGCAGAGTCCCTGCGTCCCCCTTGGCCCCCTGCCAAACAAACAGCAATTTTGCTTCAACAAGCAGGCCTGTTGGCACGTCTACAGATGAAGAATGTTCCTGTGGCTAAGCCAGAGTACTAGGATTTAAACAACCTGGATCTCTTTCCAAAAACCTTCCAGAGGCTTTCGGAGTGAACTTTGCTAAAATATTTAACCTTATTGTGTGCTTCTCCCTCGGTTCCCCCTCAGTGACATTGAGGGCATTAGGATCATGCTGCCTGGTAGGTACTTTAAAACAATTTTTTTGAAAACAAGATGTTGACTTTGATTCACTATTTTGTTAACAACAGAGCTGGAATTTCATTTTTTTCCTCAAAATCTTCATTTTGTTTTGTGATTACTGAGGGAGTTATCTAGAGTTTTTCACAGAGGTTTTGATATAATAACAGGATGACCTCTTTGGATGTTTGTTAAAAAAAAAAAAGAAATAAAGTCTCCTTTTTAAACCCTGAGGTCTGTGGAGGCCCGATGAGCAAAAAATATGCTGCATCTACTAAGATAACTCTCAGATTCCATTGTGTAGAGGCAGATATAAATTATCTAGAAAACTATCGTCTGGGAGAGGTTTTTTTTATTATTATTATTATTCTTGCAGTTGTGCTCTGTAAAATTAGAAACAGCAACTAGAATCCATAATGTTCTGTGCTCTTAGATGATGTCTTTCCTACTTAAAATATGCTGCTTGGAAAAAACAATGTTGTAAATTAAGCACGCAGGACTTTATTCAGCTAAGTACCTTCAAAGTGCTGGACGTTGTCACACAAGGTAAGACACTTTCGGAGCTTCCACCACTACATTTCGGCGTGGCTGTTCCATTAGTATGACATCCCTGACAACTTTTCTTCCTGTACTTTCAGAATGAAATTAACAGCAGCAGCACAGCACTGCATTGATGAGGCAGGCAGTCCCTCAAGACAAAACATTTTAGAAGTATCCCTTTGTGTTTTGGGACCTCAGGCTAAATTCCTTGAAATGCACTGTGCCTGCAGTTGATAGAAACTTTGCACTTCCAAAGCAGTAGCTTTATGCCTCAATTTCATCAAAGATGCGCAGCTATGCAAGCATTCTGAGGGACAGCAGCACACAGAATTTCTGTCAGGTACCATTACAGCTTTCTTAAAATGAGTTGCTAGTACAGCTAAGAACGTAAAACAAAGAACCCACCCTACTTGCTTTTCAGCTTTTGGGAAATACCTGAAAAGCACAGTTTCTTAACAAATCTTTGACACTTCGGTTAATTAATTAAGTGTGGGCAAAGTTAGAGTAGAAAATTATCAGTCTGCCAGCAGATATGCGCTCACACTGGAGGCATGCCTGCCATTAGCAAAGCTGTTTCAAAGCTGCACTGAGATAATGCACTTCTGGAAATGCATAAATGGGCCATTTTGATGCTGAAACCACCTCTAAAGGCATTTAAAACATTGACTAAGATTTTTGGCACTGTTTCATTCTTATGACACTAACTGGCAAACTATTTTTCCAAGGCCTCATAGTCCTTCTGGATTCTCCAGGCTCAGGCATAATTCATAATTAATATTTTCTATGTGTGAACTACTATATATTAAATTAAGGCCAAGTAATCTAGTTGTACTCTAGTTTTCATTTCTACAGTGATTCTATCTAATCATATTAATCTTTTGACATTCCAAAGGATCAACACATCTACAAAGAAAAATAATTAAAATACTTGTTTCCGAAACAGTAACCTGAAGACACTTTTTTCATTTTCAGAACATAGAAGTGGCACATCCTTGCAATAAGCATACCATATAAACTCCAATTCTTTACACAACAGTCCACCATGTCTGCAGTGAACTT